ATTAATTTTCATATTTGCCGAAATTATTGCCGAAATTTTTTGAACTCTTTTCATCAAAATACATCATATAGTATAGTTATTTCGGAGGGTTTAATATAAAAATTTTGCAATGCCGAAAGGTTTGCCGAAAATACTTTTTTTCAAAAATAATTTAGGCATACATGTATAGCTTGATAGATATGAAGGTTAGTTTGCTAGATCTAGATAAATGGATGTAGAGAGAGATCAGATCGCTGTTTGGTAAATAGATGTGAAAGTTAGATTAGGTAATGGGCACGAAGATCAGTCGATTTGTAAAGAGGCATGAACGTGGTTGTTAAAAAAAATAATGTGAAATGAAGACAAATTATTGACGCTTTTAGTTTCGTACTAACTCGACACATGATAACGTGTCATGATTTTATTGGTCAATGCCGACGAACAATGAAACAAGTTAATTGATTTGATTGGTTAATGATCAGCCAATCATATGATCTATAGGAGTATGCCCGGAGTACAGAAGGCATGCCCTAGACAAAGGCATGCCCGGGAGGGCATGCCCAAAAAATTTCCTGTGCCCCCAACCCTAGTTGTGATAAAGTTAATAATCATGAATCTAGCACGTAAACAAATCATTGGCATAATGGAGAAAAAACTAAAGAAAGACTCAAGATTTCTTTCCCGAACTATTGTAAGTTTCAAAGTATAGTTTATGTACAAGTAACAAAATTAACTCATCAATGTATTCAGACAAATATCGAGAAAAAATAGAAAGTAGCAGTCAAACAATTACAGGTGCAGGCTGTGGTCATCTCTTCTGAAGAATATGTAGAATATTCACAGGGAGCTCGTTCCATTATTGTACATGATTTTTTGCCGCAAAATTCTAAAAAAGAAATCAGAAAGATGTACTGATGAGCATTTTTTTACAAGTAAGAAGAATTCTACAAAATTAATTATTTGTTTTAATACTTTTAGGAAGGTGATTCTGAAAAAAATGTTGCTAAAAAATGCAAAGACACTACACTACAGTGCAAGACACTTAAAGACTACATTCATGTGATTTGTCCTATTTTCAAAATTTTCATATTGAAATTTGATGTTTTTTTGATTTCTTGTATTCTGATTGGTCAAAAATT